AAAAAATACATAATCTCTCACCTGTCCAGTTGAATATATCTTCTTCAGTAGGACCAGCACTAATCCCAGCTGGAGGATCTCTGTTAAGCTCTGCAAGTTCCTAAAGCGACAGATTGAAAAAATTTTAGCACAAGAAAATATAACTTGCATCGTTAGGATCAAACATTCTACCTTCTGAATACGTTTGAGAGCCATTTGCAGAGTTGTAGTTAGTTAGGTGCAATCTTTAAAGTATCTGGTATCTGGTATAGGATTTGTGCCGCAGTGCCTGATATTAATATTTTGTTCAATCAACCAATTAGAAATTAGCATTACGTAATTAACATTTCGCATAAATTACGAAAACAATTAAACGCGGATTTTACCCTAATTTTGATCCTACGTATTAGTTTTACTAGCTCGCAGCTCAGGTTCCACTCTGTTTTAAAAGTTCACTACCACTACATCGAGAGCGGTGTTGTTTATACGATCATAGATTGACCAATCAAATTACAAGATCAGGTGTAACGTGAAAAATCACGCTTTGTTATCTGTTATTATATATATATATATATATATATATATATATATAACGGAGGCCATGGTAAATTCAAATCCGGCTGTCAAATTCCGCAAAACTTTGAAACAAAATTTCAGTTTTTTTTTTTAAATTTATAAAAAATTTTTATATATCTACTTATTAGAGCATCAAGGAATTCAAATTCCCAAAGAATGTACAATTAAAAATAATTTGTTAAAAAATTATTCTTTACGTATTATCAGTTATATTTGACATTCTTAAATAGTTGATCTGATTCACAATTGTGCAAAATCGATAAGATGAAAAATAAATCTATTGTTCTAATTAATTGTATTAACACATTATTTCGAGTGCTTTTTATAAAGTCTTTCAACATCTTCCACATCATCTTTACTACCCAAAAAGATCGGACACCTAGAATGAATATTTTCAGGAACAACGTCGAGCACTCTTTTAAGACCGGTAGTGGCTTTACCGCCCGCTTGTTCTGCCAGAAAGGCCATAGGAGAACATTCGTATAACAGGCGAAGCTTTCCATTTTTGGATTTCTTATCATCAGGGTACGCAAAGATTCCACCATACAAAAGTGTACGATGAACATCTGCTACCATAGATCCGATATAACGGGCTGAATATGGGTTTTTACCTTCTGGTGGAAATTTAAGCGAATGAAAATATTCTTGACATGCTTCATTCCAGTACTTTGTA